AGGCCCCGTCCACACGTATCCGGAGATTTTTGTATCCGCAAATTTTTTTATGAGGATACACCTAGCGTCCACACGTGTGCGCCGTATACGCTCGGTGTATCCGGAGATTTCTGTATACGCTCTCCAGAGTGGAAATTTCTGTATACGCTGTGTATCCGGATACGTGTGGACGCTCGTATCCGTATATTTTTGTATACGCTGACGTCACAGTATCAGAACCAGTCTTTTTCCGCGCGAGATTTTCCAAAATGGCGGCGAGCAGAAACGTTGTGTGTTCAATGCTACTAGGATACGAATCGAATACGTGTGGACGGTCGTATACGATTCGTATACGCTACGTGTGGACGCAGATATTTTTGTATCTGCATAAAAAAATTTGCGGATACAAAAATCTCCGGATACGTGTGGACGGGGCCTGAGTGTTGGTCCGGCCGGGGTTCGAACCCATGACCTCCCGCTCAGCAGACCGGCGCTCTCCCAACGGAGCTAACCAGGCGGCGGTTGAAAGTCATACAAACTCAAAAGATGATAATTGCAACGCAGCCCAGAATAGACGATCTCGTAAACGGATAAATATGCTTCTTGTAATAATAGCAGTAAAAAACTTATCGAGTCTGACCAAAGAAGACTTAGTGTATTGATCGTACGATAGTCATGTCTTGGACAGAGTTGTTGGGGGAGGGGGGTTGGTGATCGGGGCGCCGTTAGTAGTCGCAGTCCTTTGCCGACGGACGCATCTCACGTCTCAAAGCCGAATGACGTGCATACAAAACCGCACGTCCAGTATAGGCTTTAGCGGAAGACATAAATCGGTTCATGACAGGAGTATTGAGCTAAATGTTTGTACCACAATGCGAGCAGAGTTTTCTTTCCCGCATGACTTTTAGCATGCGGGGAGTCGTTCGCGTCGCTGTCATTCGCGTCCTTCTTATCTTTTTGGCTGAAAAAAAAAAGCTAACCCAGAGAAATTGCTTTAATTAATCTAAAGAGCACTGACTGTCCTTTCCTCTGCAATAGCAAACATGAAATGCTACTGACGGCATTTTCTTTATAGTTTTAAATCTGATGAACATTCAATATAATATATACCCAAGCTAACTGTAGCCTGTTTCAGACTCTCAAATAGTGGGCAAGACGAGAAAGTAAAAGGTACGCGAAAAGGGGCGGGGCGGGAAAAAGGAAAAAGTTTTATTTTCATGTTCGCGCTTTCTCAATTCCGGGGACCTGAATATCTCGGAACGGGCTAAACCCAAGCATATAGTTTTGTACCCATTCAGAGATCGAGTGCCTGATAATTGATCTGTCATGCAAGACGGGCTTTATGTAGGAAAAGTGGACGACACACCCTGTCATTGCCGAGTTCCTTTCTGTACATGTTTTAAGCCATTATTTGAAAACTGCCTGAGTTTTTGTTGTAGTGTCCCTTTACGAGGGATATAGTTTGAAAATACTATTAATTATGTTTAGTTGATATTTAGACCACATATAAAAGCCGAGAATTCTGCCAAGACAGAGGGCCTTAAAAGAACAAAACAAGCCTGACGTTTATCACATTTTGCTTTTGCGTTTTCTCGCAATACTGTATACGTCCTGTATGTGGTTTCACGCGGTCGCGTGAATCCGCACGGGCGACAGCTGTAAATGTTTTATTGGGGAATACATTTAGTATTGAGAAGATTTACGCCTTGTAAGCAGCAATGGAAGGAAAACATGTGAATTCATTACAGCGGAGACGATTTTCCTCTAGACGAGGGACAACAAACCGAGGAAACAAAACTAGAAAGGAATCGTAACGCACTAAAATTTTGGTTTGTAAATGTAGGACATATTATATTAAAACAGACCTACATTCTGTGTTACGAACGACCGGCTAATTACAACAATTCAAAACAGCATAAAACCTTGTGTTACCGATTTTACTAGAGCACGTTCTATGTATAATATTACTAAAGTAAAGTTCTACGATTTCGAATGATGTTTACATTATCCATTATTTCCGAACGGACAAAGAATACTATAAATTTACATATTTTCAAGGTTATAAGACATTATGTTTCTCACAGCGGATAATCGACGGCCCTACAACATAATCTTTATAAGCGAAACACTTTCTAAAAATTAAATTGTGAAAATCGGCCGATAAATAATCTTGCCTTTTTAGTTTTTTACCATTTCGTGCTTTTCATCTTTTCAAGAGGAAGGAAAAATAAATTAACGAAATAAGATAACAACATTACAATTGTTCTAATTCACCCTCGTGTTTTAACAGTCTCGAAATTAACCAATGAGGAGCAGGCTTTCGCTTGAACGTGACTACACGTTCTCATAACAAGCTGCAGGGTTACAACCTTTCGAAAACCCCATTGCCTAAATAACCATGTAAATTACCCTTATCCATCGAAAGATAACTGAGTTGAAAAAACATGCCACTAAATACGTATTTGAAACAGTTTTTTTTTTTCAAGCATCAAACGAGCATTATCTTATTTTGTGATCTGGCTTTTACAATTACAAAGTAAATTGATATGAACGCATGGCAAAATTTAAAATGTTTTCGTTGAATTATCTTTAAAAATATGTATTTAGTGTTCCGAACTGTTTGAATAGGTTCGTTTCCTCCATCGTCTCCCTTCATCCTTTCCTGGCAATTTCCCCAAGTTTATCGCTCTCTCAAGATGGACGGAAGCTAAATCCTTGTTCTTAATTTCGGCGCTTTTTCCCATTTCTTCTTGCTCGACTGGTTTGTCTTGGGAAGGTGAATCTGCCTGGGACGGGTTCTCTGGATCTGCCAGCTCGTTCGCTGCCTGTGGCGGCAGCGAATACTGACTCACTTTTCTCCCTAAACCCTTCTCATACATGCTTTTCCATACTGTATCGATGTCACCACGATCAGGAATCGTCTTGGATTGATAAACACTGTCGAGGTCTTGGACAGCATCTTTTTCCCAGCTTGTCATGGCCGTTGGTCTGTCTAACAATGACATTTTTCCAAGAGAAATTGTCTCCGTGTAGGATAAGTTGGCCTCAGTTGTTTTTCTGAAATCTTGACTGGATGCAATCTTTCGTGACGCCAGACCAGTCACTATCTTTATGTCTTGTTTACGTTTACCGCGTAGATTAGAGTTCGCGGGAAAAGACAATGTGATATGTTTTGTTCTCGCTCGTTTCTGCTCGCTTCACTTAGCTTTTACCCAGAGAACAATGTAATTGCCGGTCTATAATACGTGATATCAAATTACAATGTCAACGATTTGGCAATTATGTTGACACCTCGTTTCAATATTGGACGGTCGTTTTGTTTCTTCACCGAAGCGATTCCAATAAATTGGTAGCACGGATAATCTCGGATTTAGTTGAAACGTGATTTGAAGTTTTTGATTCATTTGAAGTGACCAATAGAGACCACTTTCTTTGTTTTTGAAATGAATATTTTACATAAGTTGTGGAAATTATTTTTTGTAATTTTCATTCTTCTCATTGCACTTTGCTAAGAGAGGTTTTACTCGTATTTTTTTTAGGCAAAGTATATATATACATTTGAGAAAATAAGGGCAAAAACTGCAGCATATCACGTGAATTTTCAGTTTCAAATGAGAGACATGAAAAAGTCTTTAAGCGGGTGTGCGACAAGCACATTATCTTTTCATAACAGCACTTTAACATCTAAGCCTGATAAAAAGTGCAAAAACCTACATATCAACGCATCATGAAATACCTTTTGAATGAATAACGCAAATTGCAATAACACTATGACAATATAAAGGTTATATAATGACTTGGTTTTTGGTCACATTAATCGCACATGTTTTACATGAGGGGACTCACGTCTTTGGAGCTCTGGTCTCTTACTATTGCTGAGTAATTTCAAACATGAATAAGCAGAATATTTGACCTCTGGTTCCCATTTTTAAAAATTATATTTATTTGAACCGCCAACTGATTATAAATTGAGCCCTGAGGGAATAATAAAAAATTGAATTCATCTTAAACCCGAAGGGGAGTTATTCGTTATATAAATTTTCATAAAATTCCACGGAATTTCACATTTTCAGTTGATTTTGACAAATTAACTACGGCCCAGTTTGGAGGCTTTTCATTCTGAAATCCGGCAATGACGGTGGATCTAAGATGCCGGCCATAATTAGCTGGATTGATTTAAAAAGACGGAAAAGTCCTCGGCTAAACATCGCTTTGAATGGCAATATCAAGGCCCGCGCAGTGGGAGGGGCCGGGGGTGTGAGCGTGGCTCCCTACTTTTTCGCGAAATAAAGAAAAAACATGTTTCCTAATTAAAAGTCCTTCACTGAATAAGTTTTTCGATCTTGCTTTCACTCCTGTCCACAACAGGGAACAATAGAGTAGAGTAACGATTCATTGTAGATGCAAAATACAAAAACTGGTGTAGAAGACAAGGCAGATGGGAGTTTCCGCGCTACTTGTTCAGCGCTTTTTCCGCCTGTAAATTATTGGTGTTTCATGGGTGTTTTGTTTTACGTGAGAGTGAGTAACCAAAACATAGAGCTGATGAGGCGATTAAAGATTTCACAACCGTGCACGGCCTGTGGAACCGGTGCATTAAGATTAGAAAATGCCAGAAAAGAACGATCGGAACAGTTTCTAGAAAAAGCTTGTCGGCAATAGAATCAATTCACTCTTTGCAAGCTGACTGAATCTGTTCGTAGCATTTTTATGAGAAGACCCCGAACCTGACTCAGCCCCACCCCTCCCCCTCTCCCTCCCACGTGCATCTGTCCTACGCACTTGAATCTGATCCAGCTACCCTGCACTTTAAAAAAACCCTAGGGTTATAGGTAAAGCTATCTCTAGACACTTTCTAATAAGTTGACTATTTTGAACTCAAGCTTATACCCGGTACTCTTCTTGACTCTGATACAAGTAGACAGCAAGTTACACATTCAGATTGAAGAAATTAACACCATTCATGCACCGTATTCAAGTCGGCTAGCTCGAGATTCCGAGACTCCCAAGACTCATCATTGAAGGCGTCCAAGAAGAGCATGCAATCATAATCAATCAGTTGGCAGGAAAGAAAACCATGCACGGGCTGTCAACTCGGAGTATTTTCACATTTTTGTTGACATCCTCCACAAATCAGTGATAAGAATGCAATTGTGCACTTTACATGCGGGGCTACACGCACTTGGGTATGAAGAGGACCTGTACTGTGTAATTTTCCAAAAATTTTTTCCGAGCCCTTCAGTACATATGGAAATGGAAAGGAGCGACACGAAACGACCCTCGTACTGTTCGCTTACGATCGATTAGATCACTTAACTAAATGTAAATTATTCTTACTTTGCGAATGGAGGTGCATTTAAGTACGTAGCATTGCGATGTTTCGACTAATGAATTCACTTTTATGTTGAAACTCAGCCTCGTCGGAATTGAAGGAACTGATTTTGTTGCACAGGCAACCCAGCCTCAGTCGACTTTCAAGTTGTTTGATCAGTCCCTGCAAAAGTCTTCTTGACCGTGACGTTTTCAGTTTTATCTATTTTGAAAGGGTCACGATCTTTTTGGATCCGACGTTGAGCAAGATTGTTCATACACGGTTTTTGCAGTGGTTTTTTTTTACCTTAACTAAACATTGTCGGGTGGGTTTGAAGTTCTTCTTTGACCTATCTAGGGTGTCAATGCGTGTTGTTTAGGCACGCGAAGTTATGGGTTGAGTTTATGAGACCCTTTAAGTGTTTTTTTTTTCACGGCTGTCTAGTTCATTTTCTTAACAATGCCGATTACGCGTCCTTAGGGACCGGTTATTATTCATCGCCTGGGCGGGGGCGGGGGGAGGAGGGGAGGGGTGGAGGATTTGGGGCTAAACAAGGTGATATTTAGCCGATTCCCCGTTTGAATGTTACTTCACTGAAGTGATCCCCCCTAATAACATTTGATGACTTTCGCGATCCCCCCCCTCCCATGCATGTCTTCATTTTCCAAGCAAATTTGAGTGGTCCCCCCTCTGAATCCTTCCAAAGTCTTCAGTGATACTCCCTTTTGGGTTCTCAGTTACGACTGATCCCCCCTTTTGTTATCTTAAAAATCAAGTGATCCCCCCTAAAATCCTCTGCCCCTCCAGGCGATAAATAATGACCGTTCTCCCAAGGGTTTTTTCACGGCTGTCTAATCCATTTTTTAATTCGCCGTGGAACTCGAGGAGAAATCACTTGTGAGCAACTGACACGATCGCTGCTGCGTGTCAAACAAGCATGTCTCCCAAGTATCATACCATCCGTCATTTTCAACAGGAGAGACAGTTTGGATAGGTAATCCTCCGAGCTTCTAGAGCAAGCTAAGATGACCACTGAGACGTGCTCCCTAATAAACTATTCTGTCAAAAAAAGAGATACATAATGTACGTTAACCCCGGAGTTTTTTCCCGGATGTCTCATTAGAATTTTAATTCGACGTGGAACTCGAGGAGACATCACTTGTGAGTAACTGACACGATCACTGCTGCGTGTCAAACAAGCATGTCTCCCAAGTATCATATCAAACGTTACAAACACCTAAATAGGAATTCAAATGAAAAACTCTGTCAGGCTAACAAAATTTCAAAAACCGCAATTCCAATCCGTTTCAATCTTCCTCCGGAAATTTGTCCATCCGCGCCTCGTTTTGTATATGCTTTGTTTTTTAAACCTATTCTCATGTTTTGTGCCGGGGGGGGGACTCCGCATATGAAAGGGGTGGGGATGCTCGTCGGAAATTTTGAATTTAACCCCTAAAGGAGACCGATCTGGGCGGGGCCCAAGCTTTTTTTGACCCCTAAAAGAGACCATGTCGCAGTCGAGTTTGTTTATTCGGCTCAAAACAATACAAAATGTACAGTTCAGGTTTCGAAAAGTTAGTTCATTACGCGCGTCCAAAGTAAAACTAAATTGATACATAGTTACATGGTGAAAGTCTTAAAAGTGCCCGTACGTTAGTCTAATATTGTTTTGCTACATAACGGCCGGGACAATGATGATGTACTTTACGACTCCTGGGACTTAATTTCCGAATCTATTTCAATGAAGGATTCTAAGGGGCTGTTTAAATCAAGAAGGAAGATCCTTGTAAGCAGATCCCTAGCGGTCCCTAGCGCTAAGATCAGGGGCACCCAACGAGAATATAGTTTAAAACCACTTAAGCATTGTTAAATGCACTTTAGTATTTAAATTAACGGAAGATATAGGCATATTTTCATCCCATAAAAAGTTTTCATCTGTTTTGATTTCCTAGCTGAAATTCTTGTGATCCAAAACTTAAAGGGATCAAAACTTACCTTTTCGAAAATTTCAGCTAGAAAAAAGGCACCCGAAAATTCTAAGTGACCTTTTTAGGGTAAAAATCAGTTAAAAATGGGCAATTATACCATTTTTAGATGTTCAAAAATCATAGGAGAGGCAGGCAAGCAAGAAGTTTTACAACAAATGTTCCGAAAATTCTAGATCTCAAATCGTCTTCCGAAAAGACATTTTCCCCTTGAAATTGACGTTGGGTGCCCCTGTAAGATCATCCTAGCTGAGGTAAGAATTGAAGATCCTTGTACTCGGAAGATCCTCAGTAGCACCTCGTGAACTGCCTTTGCTAAGAAGATCCTTATATTAGGGACAAACCAGACAAAAATGCATGACGGCGGGTCGTTCAGTGGGTAACCAAGGTACTAAAGACCGACTTCGTTTGGCGTTAAAACTGCGAGCTGGTACGTAATTGTGCCGAATGAAAGGTATTTCAGTAAAGGGCCCAAAATTGCATGCTTTGTTTTTGTTGCCCGCCATCTTTATTAAATTCCTTTTCTACTTGGTACCTTAACCTCATGAACCGAAATTTCCGCATGTAAACCCAACGAAAAGTTGTTCCTCCTTTCATGATCTTCCACCCTCCTTGTAAACACGCCAACCCCTAAAATTATAATGACTTTAACTCATTGTTTTGTATCACGTGCATTTTTATCATTTCAAAAAAACAGACGTTGCATCAGACAATGAGCCCTCATCCTTTGTGCCGGCAATATTTCATAACATTATCTTTGACGGAAACGTTTTCTCTTATTTGCTGTGAGGGAAAAGCTTAGGAGGGCATGCTTTATCTCAAACAACTACCAGAATGACTGGATCTTTTACAGCTGTTACAGAGCCAGACGGAGGCTAAGAGCACCAGTGACACCTGAAATTATGAGGCGATATTTTATTGTTTAGTCTAGCATTTATTTCTTTTTCGATCGGTTTTGCAATGCAGGCTGTCCTTCTGTCTGTGGCTTTCTGCCAAAGCCCTGCATAAAAAGGGTATCAGAAAATGCTTAGTCAACGGATTCGAGAAACGTTTGTGAGACCGTTTGTAGAGAGGGGCGAACTATCTGGTACATGAAATTTTGGCGACACTTAGAGTTCAATTTAAAATGCACCAAAATTAAGTGTCGCTAAATTCAAATCGACGCTAAGTTAAAGTGGATCACTATGAAATTCCACCATCTGGTCAGGGTTTTTACAGATATCTTAGAATTTTGAGGGGGGTAGTCTAATGTAAAGTACTTTTTAAAGATATCTCAGGTCTAATAAATTAAGGCTAACCAGTAATAACTGTATCACGTGACGAGCCATGCCCTGTTTTATAGAGAAATCCTTTGGGTCGAGATGCCCACTATCACCTGCCACTATGTAGAAAGCAAACCGTTATCCTTTTGTAGTCCAAACAGTGGCCACTGACAGTCTTCTTGTAAAAACGGGTGGAATTAGACGAAGGCACTTAACGTCTTTCTCCTAACGAAAATTTTAGTTAGAGGAGGACTGGCACTAGTCAATTCTTGCATGGTTCTGTCCATGTTTTTGAGGTTGGTTTTGGCCAATTCTTTATTTTCTCCGCGAGACATTAACTTGACACGTGGTATGGCGTGATTCTGTGGGTGTTCTGGGTCAGGGCTTGAAATCAGAGTGCGCGGATATTTTTCATCACAGCTTTCTCTGGTTGTTGCGCCATACTGACGAGCACCAAACAGGGCGAAACAGCTGTCTATGGCTACAATCCCGCTCTCATGAGTTCTTTCCGTGTCGTGTTGATGTGTTGCAGAGTTAATTTTCACATGGTACGATCAGCATTGCAGTAGTCTGCTTGCAAAATTTAATATGTCTACATTATTATTTTTGCTGATCAGGTCTTTATAGATCCTACGTTCTTCGGCATATTCGTTTGCGGTCAAGAGACTATAAAGGGGACAGAGAGGCCATCCCCCATATACACCCTATTCCATAGGTAATTCGTCTCGAATTATTTTTAACACCACAGATCTCGAGGGGGATTAAACAACAGCCAATCACATAGCGCGAATGTGTTCCGCGTGGATGACCCACGCTGAGAGCCACGCGTCCTTCACGAAATGACGCAGAACAAAATGGGGGAAGACGCGGAGAGCGATTTTGCTATTCCTTTTGTCGACGAAAACGACTACAGCGAGATTTCTGCGAAAGCTGTGTCAGCGAAACCGAAATTAAAAAAGAATCGCCCTTCCTCTCTTGTATAGAGCTAACAGTAGAGCAGGGAAATCCTTAACACACTGAATATTCTCTCAGGATCATTTATAATTTACAGTTTGAAGAGAGCAATTTCT